GGAGGCTTCGCTACGCCTGGAATTGTGGGTGGCGTTTCTTTGTCAAACGGCGACCTGGCTCGAGACCCCCTGCTGTCGGGCAGGGCCACACTACCCCGTCCGAGGCAGCCTCCCATGATGGCACGCACCCGTTGAGGCGCCACCTGGGGACCGACGAGCTACACTTTACACCAGGTTCCCCACGACGACGACGACGACGCAAGACAAGAACGAACGACAACGGACGGCGGCGACGGACGGACGGCGGCGGCGGTACCAACACCAGCCCAGAGCGGGAGAGGGGAAGGGGAGCCTGAGGGGACGTGTACGAGGCGAAGGAAAACCTTTTCATAATCATCCTTAATTGTTTCCCTTTATCCCTACCTCGCCGTCGGGACGTAAGCCTTGGAAGAAAGGATGGGACGGGCGGAAAGGAGGGGCCGTAGGCCGGTGGAAACGGAAGCTAGGAGGGCGCGGAGCTCCTCTGTTTAAGCACATCGGGCGGTGCGATACCTCGCGCAATCAAGTCTCGTAGCCGATGAGTGCTGCGCAGGTATGGTCATTATCTCACTTTTTGAAATTGCCGAGAAGTTTCGCTGCGTCCCTCTCGAGTGGACCGCAAAGAGCTGGCCCGATCAGGCGCCCTTCTTTCTTGTCCCAGAGCGCCGTGCGCAACATGGCGATCAGCCTGCAACCCAGATCGTGGTCGGAGTCCATTGCGATGATCAGAAGGCCCTGTTTCTCAATTGCACTATCGTTCTTGCTTCCATTCCACTGCCATCGTGATAGGATATTTCCCATCGCCAAGAGGGTGCGCTGCTTCATGTGAAACATGTAGATATCATAAATTCCTTGCCCCAGTGGGTCTGCCGCTGAGCGAGGAACATCAGGCCGCTCCTGAACACGCGTAGATGCGGGGGCCCTGGTCCTTTGAAATCGACGGCCTCGCCTTCCTTCTTGTTTTCTGGGAAGTCCTGTGATATCTGTGAATAGCGCCAGCCTGCGTCTCCATCATGTCCGCCAAGCCGCCTTCGACGCAGGTCATGGACCACACGGCCCACGCCGTCGCCAACAACTCTGCGATGGCCCTGCTGTCGGCGAGGACGAAGCGCGCTATGAGGACGACCAGCAGCGCGACGACCTCGCCGTCGGTCCTGCCCGCCTGGATCTTGGCCCTAGCGCCCGCGCTGGCCTTCTTGAGGTCGCCACCCAGCAGGCGAGAGCGATTGGAACCACTCGGGCGCCGCCACATCCGTCGCGCTCGACCCGTCCCACACACTAGCGCAACCACCGAATGATAAGCTCAATCTCCGAAGATGCGATTCTGCACTGCGCCGGGATCTGCTTCGTCAACATCGACCGAACGGCATCCTCTTAGCACGCCACAGGTTTTCCCTGCATCTCTCGGCGACCGACTGGGGCGACCTGGATATCGAGTCGGGCGCAGTGGGCGGGGGCAGGTAACAGCGGCCCCAGGTCCGAGAGGGCTGCATCTTTCACAAAGTTGAGGACAAGCGTCCGCATCCATCGATACGGAAGCGACAGAGTCCGCAAATTGTCCAATGAGCAGAAAGAGCCCGCACATGCCGCACTGCATCGGCCGATCTCGATCTCAGCGGACTGATTAACAGTGAGCATCGGACCGAGGTACCGCAGTGCATCCTTGAAATGACCCAGGACAAGCTCTGGATGGAGCGCGCCCACCCCTCGCAGGTGGCAGCTCCCGCCGAGTGTAAATACAACTGCAAATCCTGTTTAGCGGTATTTCGAGCGTACCCCAGTGCCCAAAATATCCTTTACATGTAACCATCCGAATCTTTAAGCATGTCCTAGAAATTGTTTACGGGGGTCGGAACCTAAACCATACGCGCCTGAAAGACGTCGCCACCGTAAGTACACCCCCATTACGTTAGGCCTAGCAAACGCTCCACGAAACAGTTGGACAACGCACGGACCCCCATGAGCCCACCCTCCCCCGTCTTAAGGCCACCTCCCCCTCCAGAGTCTCCAAGGAAATCGTGTTACGCTTGAAACGCTGGATACACAGATCGATGCTATCTGGTTCTGCGTGCAGGTGGCCGTCTCCTCTAGCTCCTTCCACCTCCCACAAGCGAAAGCATTGCGCAGGTCCTTGCAGCTCCTGGCAGACCAACGGCCTGCTTTCCCCAGGTGCCAACCTAGATTCTGACTCACGAAGATGGCGCCATCACGCCGCTTGCCTGGGATGAAGCCGTGTTCGATGAATGTGGGAACTAGAGCACCTCTTGATAAAATGCCTTGCCCAGCAAGCTCATCACGTGCACGGCGCGACGGCCCTTCGGCCCTGGTGGCATTATTTCTCAACCGCGTCCCATTTCTGTGACGCTTGGCAAATGGAGAACGGCTGACATACCGCATCTGCTGCAAGGCCGCTTCGCAGAAATGAAAGAGAAGAAAAACAAAACAACAGCAACAACAACAACAACAACAGCAGCAGCAACAACAACAACAACAACAGCAGCAGCAACAACAACAACAGCAGCAACAACAACAACAACAACAACAACAACAATGTGGCAGAGACAGATCAGAACCCAACCCGCGCCCCTTCGGCTGGAAGTTCGGCCAGAGTTCTGTCAGAGACCTCGTCGGTGATACTGCCCAGCGCTTCTGAGCACGTCCAAAATATTTCCCCATGCGCAAAGCTTTTTGTCGTGCCAACACAAAGTCGCCAGCACTGATAGACACAAGGCCCGGATCGGTGCATTCTGCTGGAGCTTGCTCCGCTGTCTTCGGCGCGGCGCCCATGCCGCCTTCGCATCCAGGTAGTGCTCAAAAGTATGTAAGCTCTGCCTCCGTGAACGCAACGCCTCGTTTCGCTCTTCCGTCTCGTTTTGCTGCACCGTACCTGCATGCACCCGCGATGCGTGTGAATCCCACCGCCACCGCCAGCTTACGACTATTCCACGTCTGGTCAATTTCCTGCAGGGGTCTGTCTACACGTCGGCGCCAGTGTAATTCCTGCCGCTGGAGTCGTAGTTGCTGCGATACCCACTTGAGCTGAGATTCGCATCCCGCAAGTTCGTCATCATCTGCGTGAGCGCGTGCCACTCGAAGTCCAGTCCGTTCTCGTAGTAGCTGTTCACGCTGTTGCTTCTGTTGCTGGGGGGTACCACCCGTCGTGAGATGTCCCTTGAAGCGCCGTCCCACCTCACTGCGGGTCGCCTCCAAGTACTCGAAAGCCTCGTCGAGTCACCCCGCGTCAAACGTGATCTCCAAGTCTCTTCATCTGCCAGCAGCTTACTGTGCACAGCTCGGAGAAACTCGTGGCGCTGGGTCCCTGGCGCACTGCTTCCATGACGGCGCCCATGTTCCAGTGAGGGCAGACGGGCGGATGTGTTTGTCTCTCGTGGGTGTGGCCTTTAAAACTCCTATCATGTCCATGTACAGTGGCACATGGTCACGACGAAGGCATCCACGGTATGCTTGGGTAGAGGCACGAAGCCAATAAAAAGGGCGGCATTGGTTCACACATTCCGTCATGCCCAATGGAGCGCCAAGAAGTCAATACAGCTCTGCCCATCGAAGTGCCAAAGAAAGTTGTTTGAAGATTGGCAGCTCAAGCACCCATGGAAAAGGTGATGCTGTTCATATCTATGTCGTAGGCGCTCACCTGCCCCGTGCCGTCGATGTTCGCGGCTGCGGCCAGCTCCCACTGCGGTAGTGTCCACTCTTTGCCATGAGCCAGCTGCACGGCTGATGCCTTGACCGTCTTTCAGGTCGACGCTCAGTATTGAAATTCTTCTGAAGGTGAAAGCCGAGAGTACGGAGCCGTACCAGATGGTGAGGATTTCCCCCGTCTGCAAATAATTCAGGGTTTCCTTCGCGTACCTCGGATGTGGGGGGAAGTAGAATACTACCATCGTAATCCCCATCGGGCCGCGCAGGAAGGAGACGGACGGCCATCGCTCTGCCGTAGGCCCCATGGGGGCAGGCCCACATCCGACTTTTCTTCCTGGGAGAAGGATGGGTGCAACATCGCCGCGCAGCTTGTCAGCCGATTCGCATATGGTCCATCACCGGCATCTGCTTCGAGTACTTACTTGGTGTCTGAGAACTCTCCTTCCCAAGATCTGCTCACTCTTCCGATGGGTCGATCGAGTCCCTGGCGGCGTGATGATGTCCATGCTGGGGCATGCTAGAATTATCTCCTCCACACGCGACCCAGCTGCATGCAGAGGGTTGAATACAAGAACGCAGAGGGTCATCAGCCAGCGGGCCGCATGTGCCTGGCACGGCGTTCGGCGGAAAGCCAGACCGGTCTCCTGGTGGACCACATTGACGCTGCTGTGAGGCTGCCTCGAGCTGTCAAGGCAGCTGGAGAAGGAGGGGGAGGCCGACGACGACGACGACGACAACGACGACACGCACGAGGAGAGGGGGAAGGGGATAGATGAGGAGGGGAAGCAGGTAAAGAGGAGCGTAGAGGATGAGATAGAAAAGCAAAGCTAGAGAGACTGACATCTCTCTCTCTCTCTCTCTCTCTCTGAATGACGCTTCGCCTTCCCATGGGCGGAATTTGCCCACGAGGTTACTTTTCCCGATGAAAGGCCAACGCAGCAGAGCCACCCAGGCCGCTCCAAGAGGAGTCTTAACATATTGAAGCCCGAGCGGGGCACCATCGTTCATCAACAGATCTCGCCTGGCATCAAGATGAGCCTCGCAGCGCCGAGTTCCCATCCCCCTCCTCCCCCCGATCTCGCCTCCTACCCCTCCTGCTCCTCCTGAGATCGGAGCGGCGTGCAAAGCTCAAAGCTTGAGCACGGAGCATGCCTAAAAATCGAACTCTGTGCTGGCCCTCACGGAGTGCAGGCACCCCCGACCCCCGAGGAACGCTTGGCGTGCCCGGTTGGCCAGCGCGCGCGGACAGCGAGACAATCGAATTTCCAATGCAGCCCCTCCTAGCTGGGCACACGCCTGCCTTGAAGCGCGGCCCGACGAGCGCAGTTCTGCGGGCGACGGCGGCTGGGCATGGTGGCCTACTATGCGTCCCCTGCGGCGGCCGCCAGTGACCCCGTGGCCAAGGCTGAGGGGCAACGCCAGGGGGGACTGGCTCAGGAGGAGGGGGAGCATCGACCTGGAATCGGCGACACGTCGCCACTGCATCGGCGACAGGTCCCCGATGACAAATCCGCGCTCTCCTGCGCGGGGTGGGCCAGGAGGACCTCATCGGCGATTCACGGGCGATTGGGGGTCGATGCGTCCCCCCCCGACCCTGTTCCGCCCACTGATCCTCGTCGTCCGGTTCCCGGATCATAACCCAGGTCTCTGGCGGTCGTTCGGGACGATCCGAGCACCCCCGGAACACTGTCGGCGAGGCGCAGCTGCTAAAAACACCGCCAAGCTGAAACACCGCAGAGCAGGCTGAAACACCGCAGAGAAGTCACGAAAACGTCCAGAAGCCTCGAACCTCGAACCCGAAATTTCCCCTGCTCCTCCTGCTCCTCCTCCTCCTCCTCCTCCTCCTCCTCCTCCTCCCTCCCTCCCTCCCTCCCTCCCTCCCTCCATCCCTCCCTCCTCCTCCTCCTCCTCCTCCTCCTCATCATCATCATCATCATCCTCCACCTCCTCCTCCTCCTCCTCCTCCTCCTCCGCCTCCTCCTCCTTCTCCTCCTCCTGCTCCTCCTCCTCCTCCTCCTCCTCCTCCTCGCTGCCCCTGATCCCTTACCCCCTCACGTGGCCCCCGATCGCGGCGGTCATGGGTGGCCTTGCTCCAGCCGGCGGCGCCGCGCTCAGACGTTGCAGTCTCCACGGATGACCTGGGACACGGGGATCCTACGCCACGAAAATATATACACAGACACCCTTCGACGAATGTTGCATGTACCTTCAGGGAGGGCGGCGGTGTATAACATCGATCGCTCCCAGTGGTGATTTCTACAGCGCCACCCTCCCCTGAGGCCCAGGAATTCCATTGGAGGGTGTCAGTGTATACATTTTTGTGGCGGATCGGTCCTGTACCACATGCAGTACAGAGCCGCCCTCCGCGCTGTGCCGCAGTTGGTGAGCGTCGGGACCCCTCTCTCTTCTTTTTGTTAATCGGGCGCCCTGCCTGCGAAGCAAAGTTTTCAGGCCCCCAGCGCATCGAGCCCGACGCACATCCACTTGTTGTTACTCTTGAACCCCTGCGCGCTTGACAACCCGCCCGGGAGCCGAAAAGCTAGGCCACAAGCAGAAAGAATGGGAGGGGGTGTCATAGCCCCCCCCCCAGGCAGCCCCAGGCCCCCTCCCCCTCCTCCACGGCGCGACGCCGAGACCGCGCGACAGCGCAAACAGATAGTTGTGGATGAAGTCCACCATGATCAAAATCTGGACCATCTGCATGCCCACCACCCAGAAGGCGACCAGCTCCTTGATGTAGTGGTTTTTGTTGGTGAGCTCGCTGAAGGAGGAGGCCCAGAAGATGAACGACATGAACTTCGACAGAGCCTGTGCGGCAAGGAAGTGGGTGATGTGCGGGCGAGCCTTCCCCTGGCTCATGAACATCCAGAACTGGCAGAGCACCGCGACGGACTCCAGGTACAGGGAGAAGGCCCAGCAGATGTCCGTCGGGGTGTGGTTGTTCAGGTGCGGGTGGATCACCAGGGCGATGACCAGCGCGGGCACTATCAGCCAGAGGCTGTTCAGCGAGTCTGCATGCCTGTCGTAGGTCGCAGCGCACTGCCCGCGGCAAAGGTACACGATTGCCATCGCGAGTGACAGCGCGATACCTTCACTAAGCTGGTAGAACCAATCGCCGGATCTGTCGAACGGCAGATAGCCTTCGAACGGGACAATCGCGATCAGGCGACCTACGAACACCAAACAATAGCACTCAATCATCTTGCAAGAGATGCCCCGCGCGCTCTTCATCTGCAGAATCCCGACCAGCACGCCGAGGAAACTAAACAAACTCACCAGCGAGGACAGCGTCAGGATAAAGGAGAAACTGCCACTCGAGAACAGCCAGAACACCGCGACGGCGACCAATACAAAGCCACCCCAGGCCTTGCAGGCATCCGCGCTGAGCCAAGTCATGACTTTCTGCGCGAGTTTGTCGGAATCCTTCATTGCCATGATCATGGAAGCTGTCTCCCGGAGCCCCACCAAATTTCAGGCTAGGCCGCTCGATTAGGCCAAAATGGCTGAAGCATGGGTTGAAGCCTGGGCTGAAGCACGGCTTGCTTCGGCCTCAGTGGCTCTGCGGGAAGGCGCGTGCACCTCCCTGCGAAGCCACGGACACGTCTTCTCCAAGGCCACGGCTAGAGGCCTCCTAGATGGAGTCGGAGCAGATGGGGTCGGAGGATCGCGCCGCATCGGCGATCCATCGCCGATGCATCGGAGATGCACCAGCGATGCATCGGCGACGTCGGCGATGCATCAACAACGTCCACATGGAGAAAGTCGGGCCCCACAACGCGCCGCATCGCCGATGCATCGGCGATGCGGCGCGATCCTCCGACCCCATCCACTCGGATCCCATCTGGGAGGCCTCGAGTGGCTCAACCAAGCACACAGCACTCCAGCGCCCCGCCTGGCCCAAATGCGGTCAAAATCGATCCCCGAACCCCTCCCTGAGACCCTAAAAGAGGCCCTAAAAAAAAACGAAAACGCCAAGGGTGGCCGCCGTTGCCTGGACTGGCCTCTCGGCGGACCGCGACGGGAGCCACAGAGGAACGCCGAAGAGCGTCGCTGCGGACCACCTGACATCGCCCCTACCCTGCAGGATGGCACCGGCCGGGTGGCCCGGGCACGCTTTGGGTGGCAACTTCTGGGAGCCTCCCATACCATCTGGTCGGCTCATGCGACTCGACGCGACTCGACGCCAAACTAACCGACGCTCTATATCGGCGCTATCTCATCAACCCCCACACGCTGGACGACGTTGATCGGCCCGAATCGACGCTGAGAACGGTATTGAAAGGATATACCAGGCTCCCCTGGTTTGCTACCGAACACGCTCCTCTGTGGCGACAGGCGAGCGCGCCGGGCTCCCGCCACGACGGAGCGCCCGCTCTGCGCCGGGTTCCCCGCCACCGCGCGAGCCGCCGCGAGGCCCTGGACGATCCGGCAGGCCTGCGCTGGATCGAATCGCCAATTCGGATCGGATCGGAAACGGGTCGCATCGCCACAGAATCGTCCCGAATCGAATCGAGATCGGATCGCTGCGCCTGGCTCTGGCTGGCCGAATCAAATCGAATCGGAGTCGCGGCCCAGGCTGGCGAATCAAGTCGTATCGAATCGGATCGTAGGCGGGCCCCAGAGGCTGCGATCCTGGCGTTGCCGTGTTTTTTTCGCGCTGGGCGATTCTGCCCGGTTTTTCTGGCCCTGGGGCCCTGGTCAACGTCGCTTCGACATTGGGCGGAGGGGGGGGGGAGGGTAGGGGGGGTCCGACTCCGGACCTCTGCTTCATGCGTATGTTCGCAGCAGTGTGTCCTACGGGGGAGACTTCACCTGCTTGAGACAGGTGCCATAATTTTTTTTTTTTAAAACAAAAAAAAAAAAAAAAAAAAAAAAAAAAAAACTACTCCATGGGGGAGGGGAGGAGGGGGGGTGCGAGGGCCCGCGCCGATCGGCAAAATAACAACTGAAATCGGAGGCAGCAGCGTGGAATGGGGATTCCCCGCTGCAATGTCCCGGCGGAGAGCCGCGGGTCACGCCCAGAGGCCTCGAGGAGGACATCCACCTCCATCCTCCTTGACGTCCACCACCTCATCCTCCTCAGTCCTCCGCAACAAGCACCTGCTCGTGCACCTTCTCAAGCAGCACCACCTTGGCATCCCCCTCCCCATCGTCCTCCTCCTCCTAGCCATCCTGGTCCTCCTCCTCCTCCTCCTCCTCGTCCTGCTGCTGCTGCTCCTCCTCCTCCTCATCCTCCTCCTCGTCCTGCTGCTGCTCTTCCTCCTGCCTTACCTCCTCCTCGTCCTCCTCCCCCTCCTCCTCCTCCCCGCCCGCTCTGCTCTCCTCCCTTTTCCTCCTCCTTCCTCCAAGTAAAGCTTCGGGCTGCGAACAGACAGCCCCCCAAGGGTGTCCAGGCTGGCCTCAAAACGCACTCGCTCCACTCGTGCGTCGATGCTGCGTCGATGCTGCGTCGAACGTCCGTCGACCTGAATCGAGCATACGTCGAGCTTGAGTCCAACTGGAGCCGAGCCAGAGTCGAAGAATAGTCGAACCAGGTTCGAGCTGGAGTCAAACCGATCTGCTGGGTGGCCCCCAGGAAGGTCCCCACAACGAACACCAAGCCTGTGGAGGCCAGCCGGGACTGCCTTGGGGGGGGGGGTCTGCGCGCCACCCAGAGCCTCACCACTCCCGCCCTCCCGCCCTCCTCTCCCGCTTCCCTTCCTCCGGCTCCCCCGGCCTGCGGCGGGGAGAGGCGAGGGAGGCCGGCGTCCCGTAGAGCTTCATGTGGAGCACGTTCGCCTCGGAGAAGAGGGGGGGAGATGACGAGGGCGAGGGCGGCGAGCAGGACGGGGACGAGGACGAGGAGGAGGAGGAGGAGGAGGAGGAGGAGGAGGAGCAGGAGCTGGGAGGCGACCAGTTGTACAGACCCACGTCCTTCCTCCTGCCCCCCCCCCCTCCTTCTCAGAGTGTTTGCCCGCACGTACTGGGAAGGAGGAGGGGGAAGAGCGAGGTGGACCAGCCTGCATTGCAGCGACCCTCCTCCGAGGAGCAGGAGGACGAGGACGAGGACGAGCACGATACGGAGGCGGGTTGGAACACCTGGACGAGGAGGCAGATGGGGATGAGGGGGCGGAAGAGGAGGCAGAGGAGGACGGGAGGACGCCCATCGACAACACCGCCGCACCCCACACCGTGCGGGCGGAGGAACTCCGCGCAGCTCACCAGTCCCCCCCAAGGCCCCCCCCACTCTGAACGCCAGCCGCAACCCACAGCTGCCCCAACCGACTTCTGCACAGCACCGCGCGATTGCTCCCAGTGCCATCTCTGGAACCCTCCACAAGGCGAAGCCAGGATCGGGGCGACACCAGATCGGGACACATCGGGAATCTCTGAGATCCGACGGTCCTTAAGGATTTGTGGGGGGGGCACTGCAAAGCGTTCCAGAAAGCTGTCTCCACCCGGCCCCTCTTCCGCCTGCCCGCCCGCCCCACCGGCCCTGGCCTCCCGCCTGCGCGTTCGTCGTCGTCTGCATGCTTCTCCCCTCCTCTTCCCCTCCGCCAGGCAGCACAGCCTGCCCAGGACCAGCATGGCGGCGCGTAGAACTCTATCGGCGCACCATGGTTCCACACGTGTTGCATGAATCCTGGTCTTAGCCCCGCCCGATCGGTGCCATCTCCGGAAACCCCCAACCAGGGAAACCCTGGCCCCGGTGGCCGACTAACAACCCCCAGGCGCAGGGGCGGGAGCCGTCTCCCTCGGGCCTCGCGCGGCACCCGTGTGTAGTGGCTCTGGGGACCTTCCCAGAGCCACCACCACTCGCTCCACTCGAACGTCGATGCTGCGCCGAAGGCCCGTCGAATTCGAATCGAACTCGAGCCGAACCAGAATCGAATCAGAGTCGTCAGGTGTGCCCCAGGAAAGTCCTCGAAACAAGCATCTGATGAATCCCTGTCCCGGCAGGGGCTCACCGATGATGATCACCGAGAGTGCCCGAGAAACGGCGCTCGACGAGCGAGCCCTCGAACCCTGGCACGCGAGTGCCTCCGCGGCTGGCCTCCGCCCTGGCGCGCATCGCCCATGCGCCATGCTGGAGGCGGGCTCCCGAGGCGCCATCGCGCGCCCGTCTCCTCCTCCTCCTCCTCCTCCTCCTCCTCCTCCTCCTCCTCCTCCTATTATTATTCATTTGATTCGTATTGTATTCTTCTTGTTATTCTTAGTATTAATATTCTTCTTAGTATTATTTTCTCGTCTTCATAGATCATTAATAGTATTAGCAGTAGTAGTATTATTGTTAGTATTAGTATTGGTATTCTTATTATGAATAGTATTCGTATTATTATTATCAGTATTATTAGTAGAATTAGTAATAACAATATTATTATTATTATTATGAAATATAAATAATAATAATAATAATAATAATATTAGTATTCATAATGATAATATTAGTATTAGTATTACTACTACTATTATTATTAATATTAGTATTAGTATTATTATGATTAGTAATAATATTATTGTTAATTAATAGTATTAGCATTATTAGTATTATCAGAAGAGTTCGTAGTATTATGAGTGTTCGAAGTCTTCTTCTTATTATTAGTATTCTTATTCGTAGTATTAGTCGTAGTCTTATTAGTGCTATTCTTCTTAGTCGTAGCATGACTATATTTCTTAGTGTTATTATTCGTCGTGTTAGTCTTATTATTCTCCTTCGTTAAATTATTAATATTATTATTATTAGTAGTATTATTATTAGTAGTATCAGTATTATTAATAGTATTATTAGTATTCGTCTTCTTAGTCTTCTTCCTCCTACTCCTCCTCCTCCTCCTCCTCCTCCCTCCTCCTCCTCCTCCTCCTCCTCCTCCTCCTCCTCCTCCTCCCCCTCCTCTTCCTTCTCCTCCTCCTCCTTCTCCTCCTCCTCCTCCTCCTCCTC